CTTTGATCCTTGTCCTTTTCCTACAATTGATGACAAAACTAGCTTCAGCATTTATATACATATCAATCCATAATCATAATATTAATTTTCTCAATAAATTCGGGATAAAGGCATCTCATTTGTCAATGATACATTTGAAGTGAAACAAGTAACGTAACCTTACCTCATCATATTATTTTATCAAAATCTGGCCTACCTGTAAATCCTGTGAACATCTAGAGGTACTAGCAACACATTCATTACTTGAATCAATAATTGAACTGGAACAGGTTGAACTGTTAACATTTTTCGTATTATTCAGTTCTATTATTTTACTGGTTTTGGACAATTTATTTTGAGGTTCGTCTTTAGATTTAAAATAATCTACAATGGTGCGTTTCATAGTCGTGAATAGGAATAGAAAAACAATAAAGATCCTTCAAAAACTCAACAAAAGAAGTCACTAACATTCACTTTGATTGATTATAAAATTAATAGTGCAACGTGCAACAAATTATGCGGCAGGAATAATTTTTCATCGCTATTGCATCGATGCCCATACGAGTCACAGCGTAACGCACTTGTCGAAACACGCCTCCGCGCCAGAGATGTCCACGATAATAGGCGAACCCTTCCCGCCATTTTTAGTTTCTATCGGGTAGTGAGCGCGTTTACATCGTTATTAGGTAAATAAACAAATTTATATCGTAACTTTTAATTAAATTTAGAAATCGTATTATTTGTCCACAAATATTGCAGTGCCCATGGGGGGGGGCTTGAGCCCCTGTAGCCCTCCCCATAGATCCGCCACTGACTGGTTCATTATTTATTTCACGCTCGAAATCACTACTTATTTTGCTATCGGAATCACTACTTATTTTACTATCAGCATTTTCTAAAATATCCTCTGCCTCTACATTTATATTTTCCTGTAATTTTGATAGGGGAATAATAGAAACGTCATTCTTATTTAATTGATTATTACTGGAATTTATTCTCAGCTGATTGGTATGTCGTTTCCATTGTTTTCCATCATCAGTTTGAATTAGGTAGGTTCTTTTGTCAAGAACGTTACTTATATACCCACTACACCACCTCGGTTGATCAGCCCTAAAATCGCGAGCCCACACTTTATCATTTTCCTTAAATGAAATGTTATTCCTTGCTTGATAATATTCCATTTGATAAGTTTGTTTTTTATGAACAGCCCTTGTGGTAGAAGGCAACATTAAATCAAATTTTGTTCTTATATTGCGATTAAGAAGTAATTTGGAGGGTTTTTCACCCCTAGTGGTGTGCGGCGTATTACGATACATAAACAGAAAACGGTTTATGATCAAATGAACGTCATTCCGAGGATCTTCATGTCGGGCTTTCAAAATCGCCTTTTTCATAATTTTGACAGCGCTTTCTTCTAACCCATTTGTAGCTGGGTAATATGGAGCACCTGTGAGATGTTTAACGCCACTGTTTGACAAAAATGTCTGAAATTGATCAGATACAAAAGTTTTCGCATTATCGGTACAAATTTCAAAAGGTAATCCAAATTTTGCAAAAAGCTCACGAAAAATCTTTATTGTGGTAGTGGCTGTTATATTATAGACTTCAAAACATTTAATCCACTTCAAAGCAGCATCTTGAATGACTAGAAAATTTTTGTTAAATAACGGCCCAAAAAAATCGGCATGCAACCTAGTCCAAGGCTCTTTTGGCCAATCCCACACGGCCAAAAGATGTTTTGGGAGGCTTATCAGCATAGACAGCACATGCATTGCAATTTTTTGTTAATTCCTCAATGTGAGAATCAATCGACGGCCACCAAAAATATGACCTGGCTAATGACTTCATTTTAACTACTCCCAAGTGTGTACTATGCAATTCCTCCAAAAGGGTTGGCTGAAAATATTTTGGAACAACCAAACGATAACCCCACATGAGACAGTTCTGTTCAACCGTGAGTTCTGTTTTTTTTTTTTGGAGAAAAATGATTTAAATTCCTCAGCTGGACATACACAAGGCCATCCATTTTGTACATAAAATAAAATTTTACTGAATATAGGATCTTTAAATGTATATTTTTTTATTTCTTCAAACTTTATAGGGAATTTTTGTTCATTTAAATAATGTAAATAAAAAATATTTGTGTTTATTTTAAAATATAGAAAATCATTTTGTTCGACATTCAAAGAATTTGGTATAGGAAGCCTTGACAAACAATCGGCAACATTTTTTTCTGAGCTCATATTTTATTTCATAGTCAAAACTAGATCTCTATCAACTTAGCGAGACAACTTCGAAAAATCGATTTTCCATTATGCCAAGAATTTGCCGCTTTTTTGCCGCTAATTAAATGTGGGGTTACAAAATTTGCCGCTCTTTTGGTTTTTTCTTAATTACGTGTTTTGCTAACTTGACGTCAAGATAGCGAGACAACATCACTAAATATGTCAGCACTAAAAAACTAGGTACGTGAAAGTTTGCCGTTTTTTTGCCGCTAATTAGTTGTGAAAATCAAAAATTTGCCGTTTTTTTTTTTTCATAAAAAATCAAGTTTAAAAAAAAATTCATTTGTTTCGCTAACTTGACGTCAAGTTAGCGAGACATTATCACTAAAAATGTCGGAAGTGAAAAATTGAATGAATGAAAATTTGCCGTTTTTTTGCCGCTAATTAGTTGTGAAAACCAAAAATTTGCCGCTTTTTTTTTTAAAAAAATCAAGTTTGAAAAAAAAATCATGTGTTTCGCTAACTTGACGTGGAGTTAGCGAGACAATATCACTAAAAATGTCGGTAGTGATAAGTTGAGTGGATGGAAATTTGCCGTTTTTTTGCCGCTAATTAGATGTGAAAACTAAAAATTTGCCGCTACCTTTCTTTTCATAAGAAAATCGTGTTCGAAAATAAAATAGTGTTTTGCTAATTTAACGTAAAGTTAGCGATATCACTAAAAATGTCGGAAGTGATAAATTGAGTGAGTGGAAATTTGCCGCTAATTAGGGCCGGGATTACCCAACTCCTTAATTCCTAATTCTTAATCGCTATTTCTTAGTGCTTAATACGTAATTCGTAAAAATGCAACTATTTCTTAAGAAGAGTTATCCAATTTCTTAATTTTTATGTTTCATAGAAACATAACCACACAAATTTTACTGGACAAAAATAATTGTTTACTGTTTACTTTTTGTTTTCATTTTCAAAAGCCGTGACTACTAAAACGTTTCTGTGTATTATAATAAGGATGAAGCTGAGCAGGGAAAAGGCCTTTAAGCTATCTTATTTATTTATTTCATTGGTAACATGCGTGGCCCAGTTTATAATCACAAGAAATCCCCGCAGGAGATTTGGTGTTCGGCCTTTAAACAGGCGAAGAAATGCAGAGGGAGCTTATGCGACCCTTATAAGGAATATGGTGACCGTTGAATGGGACGAGGAACAATTTGTAAAATATACAAGAATGACATTGAATCAATTTAAAGAACTTCACAGAATTTTGAAACCTTTTCTACAAAAAAATCCCAAGAAACTCCATATTGGTAGTGAGCAGCGTTTATTGATGACCTTGCAGTGAGTAGTGACTAATACATTTCGATCAAAATCAAAAGTATGATTTGAAAATTATAATATTTTGATTAATTTGTTACATCCAGGTATTGAAAAATTAAATTTCTTTTCCAGTTACCTTTCACAAGGAAGTTTCATGCAAGAAATTGCATGGTCCTATCTAGTGGGCAAAGCAACTGCAAGGAAGATCATAATAGAAACATGCACAGTTATATGGAGTTGCCTGAAAGATTCTCAATTGCCAGTACCCCAGGTTCAAGATTTCATTAGAATTTCAGAAGGCTTTCTCAATATTTGGAATATTCCAAATTGTATTGGTGCGATAGATGGAAAGCATGTTGTCATCAAAGCACCACCAAAATCAGGCAGTGAATTTTTTAATTACAAAAAATCATTTAGTATTGTACTAATGGCGTCATGTGATGCCAACATGAAGTTTACGATGGTGGATATTGGAGCGTCAGGATCAAATCACGATTCAGCAGTTTTCAAAAATAGTGGCATGGGAGCAGCTCTATTAAATGGTCATCTGAACATCCCGCCGCCAAGGGCCCTTTATAAAACAAGAACTTTTCTGCCACATTTTTTTGTAGGAGATGCTGCATTTCCTCTCCACAAACACATCATTCGACCATACCCCGGGGGAAATTTAGATAAAAAAACAAAACATTTTCAATTACAGAGTGAGTAGGGCAAGAAGAACCATAGAAAGTGCGTTCGGAATTTTAAGTCAGCGTTGGATGGTTCTGAGGCGTACAATGTATAACAGCATCGAAGTTTCAGAGGTAATCATCCAAGCTGCCGTTGTATTGCACAATTTCATGCGAAATTGTGATTTAAATTTGGCACCTGAAAACAGAAAATATTGTCCTACTGGCTTCGCTGATTACTTTGATGCCAATGGTAATTTGCAACCAGGATCATGGAGAGATATTGGTGACAATTTAAGATCTGTGGGTAGAATAGGGTCAAATAATCCCACATTTTCTGCAAAGGAACAGAGAAATATTCTGGCTGAATATTTTGTCTCATTGGAGGGTTGGGTCCCATGGCAAGAGAACTATGTGAATAGAGGATCTGCTCCCATATAAATGTTTTTCTAGAATTTATCAGATTTTTTGCTTTTTTTCCTTGATGTTCTCTTTATTTCAAATTATGGTTAGAGGAAAATATTGTGTTATAAACCAGGAATGTTTAATTTTTTTCTATTTTTTTTTATAAATTATTTGAAGGATTTTTTAGCAACTAACCGTTTGTAACCGTGTTAGAAACGGTAACTCAAAGTACATCATATTTTCAGTTACCGTTTATAACATGGTTACAAACAGTAGTCACTAAAAAATCCTTTTGGTGTTGGTATTAATAAATAAAACAAATAATAAAGTTTTTTTTTTTATATATCAAACATAAATAACATATTCATTTAAACAGAGGTTTTAATTTACCCAAATTTAACTTAGGGCCGGTTTCTCAATAGCAAGTCACCCCTGGGTTAAGCATAACTCCAGGGTAAACATAGCAACTAGACACGCTTACCATGGAGTTAAAACCAACCCGGAGCTCAGAGGTGACTCGCTTTTGAGAACTTGAATGGTAAATACTACAGGCCTACAAAATAAACAAACAAAAGAAATATTATTAATACAATGTAAATAAAAAATATTGCTTCTTATAAAAGGAAAGTAATTTTTTTTAAAGAAAATTCTACTCTTGGAGAAAACTACTATACTACAAACTAATTAACAAAAATAGAGAGTTATGCCAAGTTTATCAATAAAACTTAATGACAGCTTGGAATAAGCTGGAGAGCTGCAAAATAATATCCAGTTTTTAATTATGTGGTTTCAATTTATTTTGGCTCTACTGTTACCTTGAGTTTCATTGATAAACTCTGAAAGTCAAATTAAGGACTAGATTTTACTAAAATTAATACTACTTTATCAAGTGTGTATTAATTTTACTGGGGATTAGCGCTTTTGGATCCAGTCAACTTTTCAATCTCCTCGGCAATTTGGACGAGAAATGTTGCCTTCAACCTCAGTTTTGTAGTATTTGGTAATTCCTGCATTGACTCTAACATGCTTAGTAGAAAATTGTGGTCACCTCTAGAGAGGTTTGATTGGTTTGGAACATTCGAGGGACGGCTATCATCCATTATATTTTGAATTTTGTTTCCAATACTTGTGCATGTATTTATCAAGGTTGCCACAGATTCATCTGTTTTTTTTTTTTTTGCTCTCTGGCTGTGTCGAAAAACTTTCATTTTTTGTTTTTTTTTTATTGGGTCAATGAAGCTGAAGTTCTAGGTATAACTTTTTCTGGTATTTTGGAGGTTTTGGCAGCAGGACCCGAAAGCAACGAAGGCGAGTCTTGAGTGAGGTCTTGAGATATGTCTCCCTCATCTAAAGGTGTTTCTGGGATGACTTCCAGTTCCTCCAATTGAATCTGAGTGCAGTCATCATCCTCTTCTTCGACCTCAAACATTCCAGATGTGTTATTAAAATTGTAGAATGGAGCTTTTCTAATTTTCGGTGAAATTTGTTGAGATTGGGATTCTCCAGAGATCTTAATGTTGCCTCGTGTCCTAGAAAAATCAATATTAGGTTTAATAAGTATGTATCGTTATGCTGGTTTCGCATTTTAATATTTTATTTGAACCAGGACCATCTAATTGGTCTGGGTGCTGTTTTCTCGTGAACTTAATAGTGGAAAGTTTGGGGTTGGCCTTAAAATTGTATAAAAATATAGAACTGATTACAAAAATTCAAATAAAAAATTAACTTGGTGTCTTATTTGGAATACTACTGAATCTTCAAAAATTTAAAAAAAAAATACTACCTCTACTTTTTAATATTGGAAGTTTATCTCTACTAATTAAACTTATGGCTGAAGTATGTGATGGTAGCTTCTGACTTTGAGAAATTTATTACATATTCGAAGGGCTTTAGGTACATTTAGAGAGCTTCAAGCACTTTTGAAGACCAGTGCTTCAAGCACATTCGAAGGCACCCCAAGCCCTTATGAAATGCTTCAAGCACTTTCCAAATATCTTTGTGGGCTTTGTGCTTGCCAAGCACAAAGCACTTTGAGGGTTTTGTGGTTGAGAAGCACTTTCGGAAATAAAAACGTCTTTGTGCTTGAAAATTAAAGCACTTTGAGGCTTAGAGCTTTGTGCTTCAAGCCCTTTTACTGAGAGTTTTGCCAAGCTCTGAATGGCTGGCTATTTCTTGAAATTCAAAATTTCATAAATCAGTCCAATTACTCCAAGCAATAAGCAATGTCAAAAGCAACTAAAGTATGTTTTTTTAAAGATAAAAGTCAAAATGTATGTTTGCAAAACAATATAAAATGTTCAATGCTTTCAACTTTTTTATGTAGAAAAGGCTTGCGTTGTTAACAACATACCTACCTAATTACTAAATTTTTGACTTGGGGAATTATCTTTAAAAAAAAAACAGACTTTATGTACCTATTTATATGTATGTAGAGGTTGAAAACTTACATTCTGCTTTGGATGACTACATCCAAAAACCCTAATCTGTCGAATAAAATCTAGCGATCCTTAGTTGCACCTGACCCCGATGGGATGTTCTTGATTACTCTCCTTTCTCGTATGTATTTGGATCTTAAAAAGTCCCAAGAATCCTTGCATTCTTTTACTAAAAAATATAAGGTTAATGGTTATTTCATAATGAATATCAACAAGAAAGTATTACCAGTCTTTTCCATAATATTGGAAATGGTTTTCCATGCGTTTTCTTTAGCAATAATATCACTGTACATGGCATTTTTCTTGTCCCATAAATGTGGAAAACTTTCAATGTGGTCTATGAGGGAGGATTGCTCTTCAACAATCATTTTTTTGAATTTTATTACGGTTCACAGGGACCACATACAATAAAAGACCCTAACATTACCCATCAGAAAATGTAAACAAACAAAATTGAAAATGTCAAACAGCTGATCGCGGACCAAGAGCGCAGACGCGTTTCCTAATTCTTATTCCTTAATTCGTAAAAGTTAAAAGTTGGCAACTTTTCGAGGTCGTTCTTAAAATATTAAATTACGAATTAAGAAATAAGAATTTGGATAAACCCCATCATTCAAAAACACGTTGTTAACTTCTTATGGATAAAGGAATAAGAAATAGCGATTAAGAATTAGGAATTAAGGAGTTGGGTAATCTCGCCCTAGCTCTTTTTCTACAAGAAAATATCGCGTTTGAAAAAAATATCATGTATTTCGCTAACTTGACATTAAGTTAGCAAAACAGTATCAATAAAAATGTCGGTAGAAAATTTCATTAATCTGTCAAAACTGGTATTCGAACCATAAACTGGGCTCTGTGTCATTTGCGCGACAGTCGTTTGCGCGAGGGAGAAAAGCGCGATACTAAAAGCGCGAGGGACAAAAGCGCTACGGAACAAAAACACGACTGCATAAAAGCGCGAGAAACAAAGGCGCGAGCGAGAAAAGCGCGAGCGAGAAAAGCGCGAGCGAGAAAAGCGCGAGCGAGAAAAGCGCGAGCGAGAAAAGCGCGAGAAACAAAAGCGCTAGGGACAAAAGCGCGACGGAACAAAAACGCGATTGGAATAAAGCACGATTGGACAACAACGCGAGGTATCTAACTATCTACGAGGACTGTAAGCAAAAGAGGGACACATCAAATTGTATCAATAATAATCAGAAAAATGTAGACTTACTCAAACTAACCCATACTAACCCGTTCGCCTAGTGCGATGTAGTCTTCGTTAAATAAAATTTTATTTGAAAAACAAGGCGCGGTCAAGGGACCCTCCGCTTTAAATAAATTGACTGTTTTTTTTGGATAAAATGCTAACTTACGAGTACTAGATCGCACTAGGCGGACGGGTTATTTTGGGTTAGTTTGAGCAAGTCTGTATTTGCTTTATTATTATCGGTTCAAATTGATGTCGCAATACAGACGTACTCAAACTAACCCAAAATAACCCGTCCACCTAGTACGATCTAGTCCTCGCGTAAGCATTTTATTTAAAAAAAAAAACAAGGTTAATTCACTGATTGCTCAGGGTCTCTTGAGAGCGCAGTGCTTTTTAAATAAAATGCTAACTCACGAGGACGAGATTGCCCTAGACGGACGGGTTAGTTTGGGTTAGTTTGAGTAAGTCTACATAATTTTGATTAATATTGGAACAATTTGATGTTTCCCTCTTTTGCTTAGAGGTCGTCGTTGTAAATGTCGCTCTTTTAATTTGTCACTGTTCTAAATCTCGTTCTTTACATATGTCGCTATATGTAGATGTCGCTATTTTGAATATCGCTGTTCCAAATGTCGCTATTTTGATATATCGCTCTAACAATATGTCGCCTTTTTGATGTTGCTATTTTAAATATCGTTCTTTTGAACCGAGGCCACCGAAAATATCTTGTATTTTGGAAAACGATCTTCAGTTCTCGTAGATAGTAAGGCACTTCGCGTTCTTGGCCAATCGCGCTTTATCCAGTCGTGTTTTTGTTCCGTCGCGCTTTTGTCCCCTCGCGCTTTGTCGCTCGCGCTTTTGTTTCTAGCGCATTTATCCAGTCGCGTTTTTGTGCAGTGGTGCGCTTTTGTCCCTCGCGCTTTTGTTCCTCGCGCTTCTATCCAGTCGCGTTTTTGTCCATCGCGCTTTTGTCCTGTCGCGTTTTTGTTCCGTCGTGCTTCTGTCCCTCGCGCTTTTCGTATCGTGCTTTTCTCCCTCGCGCAAACGGCTGTCGCGCAAATGACACAGGCCCCATGCATAAACTGGCATTTTTTAATTGTTGATTTCAACCAATCAGATTGCGATTACGTGATAATTTGTACTAGTGCAGGATTATCGGATTGGATAATTGCTCACTAACGGGTGGCATTTGACATTTTTTCTGATTGGTGACATTTTATACTTATGAGGATATACTAAAAATTTAAATTTTTGATTCATGAAATTCTCTCATAAAATACAACTCGAGCAATGGAAATATATCTATAATTTTTGAGAAATTTGCACTCATGCGTTTTTAACTGAAAAAGGCACTCGTGCTCTTTTTCAACTAAAAATGCATTCGGGAAAATTTGCCAAAAATTATCGATAATTTCCATTTTATCCCAATTTAATTTTATTTTTAATTTTATTTTATCTATATATATAAAAATGAATGCCACTTTTCGTTGTAATTTTATAACTCAAGAACGGACTCACCTAGCCAAACCAAATGTTTAAGCTTTGTTCGGACTATTTATTAGATGGTTTATGTGAAGTTTGCACAAAATCGGTCGAGCGGTTCTTCACAGGGATGTGCGTCTACACGTAGACTTTCATTGTCTACTTTACGTGTAGATAATGTAGACAATGTGTCAACAATGTAAAATAATATAAATGACGTTTAATTCTAACCTCACACTTTTCTTTTTTTAAATTATTTTTATTTTATTATTGGTTTTTCTGATATTTTATAATCAGTGAATGCTAATATCGAAGTGATAGTGATAGTATAGTTACTTTTGATATTTTTTTTCGAATTTTTCAAAATAATTTATTGTTTACTCCGCATGTAGACAATGTGTAGACAAATGCTCACGTAAACAATTCGAATTGTCTACGCGTAGACAATCAATTCTTTACGTTGACATTGTCTACAGGCACATCACTGGTTCTTCATTTATCACATTTTTTGTAATAAATTAATTATTCAATAAATGGAGCATCATTTTGCTGTCAAATTCAAACTTTTTTCAGCGTTGACAATACCAGCATGTTGTTATGTCATTAATGTGGTCATTTCATTACTTATTTATTTATTTATGAAAAAAATTTACTAAGCCCGCATACGGCGCCATGTTTTATAACCGATACCAAGTTTATTTTGTATTTTGTATACCGCGCCATCTCTGATACCTGGAACGAAGCTCGGCATTGCAGATACAGTAGAACAATGCTGCACAGAACTATTCCACTATTCCGATCAGATAGAGTGGTGCAGAAAGAGTAGGTCAGATAGAGTAGTGCAGATAGAGTAGAACAGATGGAGTAGTGCAGTGCATGCAGTGCAGATAGAATGAAATAGGGCTGCGCTAGAGATTTTTTTGTTTTCTTTACATTCTTTGAACATTCCTGTGCCTGAGTTTATTTATTTGGTGGTACACTTTACAAGAATAATGCCCACAAGCTGCCTAAAAAAGGATGATGTAAAATTTTAATTTTAGGTGCCTTCTGATCCAGAAAGTAAGCATTAATTTTCTTCAACCAAAGCCAAATTCATCATCGAAAAAAACTGAATTTAATTCAGCTAATAGATACGTTAACACAACATTTAATAGGTATATTTAATAATTCAGAGGCGGTACGAAGTTCGCCGGGTCAGCTTGTTTTCTATATAAATGAGCACACGATATTTCGCTTTTTGATTTTTGAAACCTATAAGGCCTCCAATAGAGTTTTCCTAAGCTAAAGAAAAAAAACTGAAAAACTATTCATAAAAAATTTAAAAATAAATATTTGTTCCAACAAATGTTGAGTTTCACTAATTAAAATATACAGGGTGCATAAAAATTAAGGGTGGGAGATCATTTATAACGGAACACACTTTTACTCACCTAATTTTATACTGCCCTTCGTTTTTTGTGATGATGTCGGTCTAACTTAACGGCAAGCTTGCGAAACAAAAGTTTTTTTCAAACACGATTTTTTCATGGAGAAAAAGAGCGACAAAGTTTTGGGTTTTCACATTTAATTAGCGGCAAAAAACGGCAAATTTCCACAGTTTTTCTCTACCACTCAATTTTTCTCTACCGACATTTTTAATGATACTGTTTTGCTCACTTGATGTCAACTTAGCGAAACACATGATATTTTTTTAAAACGCGATATTTTCCACTCACTCGTTTTATCACTACCGACATTTTTAGTGATCTCGCTAACTTGACATCTAATTAGCGGCAGAAAAACGGCAAATTTCCATTCACTCAACTTATCACTACCGACATTTTTAGTGATATTGTCTCGCTAACTTGATGTCAAGTTAGCGAAACAAATGATTTTTTTTTCAAACTTGATTTTTTATGGAAAAAAAAAGAACCGGCAAATTTTTGGTTTACACAACTAATTAGCGGCAAAAAAACGGCAAATTTTCATCTACCTAATTTTTTACTGCTGACATATTTAGTGATGTTGTCTCGCTATCTTGACGTCAAGTTAGCAAAACACGTAATTAAGAAAAAACCAAAAGAGCGGCAAATTTTTTAACTCCACATTTAATTAGCGGCAAAAAAGCGGCAAATTCTTGGCATAACGGAAAATCGATTTTCCGAAGTTGTCTCGCTAAGTTGATAGACATCAAAAATAGTCAATATGTGAGCCCATCTTTGCAATCGATTTGCCGCAAAAATTGGTATACCTTTTTTATCTCCAAAAATAGATAAAAGAGGTGAGCCATCGTCATAAATATGACTCAAAGTGGCTCCCAAAGCAAATTGAGAAGCATCCACTGTTAATTTAATCTTTCCATCAGGATCGAAATGGGCTAAAACTGACGAAGAGAGCAAAATATTTTTGGCATTTTCAAAACTATTATCACACTCTTTAGTCCAGTTCCACTGAACATCTTTTTTAAGTAATCTATATAGTGGCTGTAAGACAGCTGAAGCTTTTGGAAAAAATTGGCAATAAAAATTTATCATTCCTAGAAAAGATTTCAATCGAGTAACAGTTTTTGGAATAGAAGCTTTTTTATGGCATTTATGCGTTCATCCGAGGTATGCAAACCTTAGACCCTTATGAGTTGCTATCGTGACGAGTTTTCTAGATTCGTTTGTTAACAAGATTTGTTGATATGCCTCTGAAAGATCAATCTTAGAAAAT